TCCTTCCCTTTGCTATGCAGTCATCCTAGGTTTCTGTATTCTACAGGATTTGTGTCACCCTTTTTTTATACTCTGGTGCTCTCCTTTAGTACTTATCAGAGTGTAGTGGTTTATTCATTGTTTTGATTGCTTTTGTGAAGGAGATAGGCATTAGAAACTTGTAAACTTGCAATCATCTTACTGATGTCTTCCCTATATAACTTTTATGATGTTTCCTCCTACCTGAGTGAAGCCTAGGTTCACAAAGGTAAAGATGAGATGTCATAGAACCAAATAAGGGCCACATCTCACCTGTTGTAATGAAACCAGAACTAAGAACATATTGCCAGAATATGAATGTGTGCTTTCAGGGAGTAAGTGTACATGCACTGACCTACCATTGCTCTGGTTGATATTGCCATGGCATGGATGATGATGTCATGCATAGGTGTGGGCTTTCAGCAAACTCAGTTAGAGGTAGGCCATGTGGAATTTCAGGAACCTGGATTTCTTCTGCTACCTGAGAGTTACATTCCTCCCAGAGAAGAGAAGGGGTAAAAGCTAAAATCAGAAATTTAGGACACTTTCTTTCCCAGAATCTTATAGTACATTGAAAGAAGGCAGTGGCTAGGCACAGGGCTCATGCCTGTAATCCCAGCACTTTGAGAGGCCAAGGCAGGAGGATTATAGGAGTCTAGGAGTTCAAGACCAGCCTAGCACAACCTTGTCTCTACAAAAAAATAAAATTAAAATAAGCCTGGCGTGGCGGTGTACACCTCTAGTCCCAGCTACTTGGGAGGTTGCTGAGGCAGGATCACATGAGTCTATGAGTTTGAGGCTGTGAATCATGATGATACCACTGCACTCCAGCTTGGGTTACAGAATGAGATCTCAACTCAAAAAAAAAGGTGGATAGGAAAATGGCTTCAGAAACTGGATTATACCTTAGAAAGAGGCATTATGGAGAGAAGGATAGGCTTTGGAAATGTCCCCATGTTGAAGGAAGCTAGTTAATTCACAAATGCTGAGGATTAAGGAGACATTTGGGTGGAAAGTAGTAAAGATTATCTCGCCATAGAAAGTACAAGATCTTTGGAAGTTCCTTGGGTATTCAAGTGGGAGAAAATGCCTGTTTTCTAAGCTTAAGAACTCAGGAAAAGAATATTATCCCAGCATCACATCCTCCAGCCCTGTCTACCCTGTCAACCCTTCTGTGAGCATCAGGGTCAACTCCAAAGACTATAAAAGAGAACATTATCTAATATCTACCATGTGACCTTAGTATCTGAGATTTTGACTTTGCACTTGTTACATCTACATGGAAGCAATATTGTCTAGTAACTAAACAAACTCACACTAAATCTAAACAGCCATGAGTTCCAACACTTGCTTCATCATTGACTAGCCACATTACTTGGGTACCTGATGTTAGTAGTTATTATTGCTATTAGTGTTAGTACCATGGTCTGGTACTCCACAGACAGATCAGATTCACTGCCCAGTCATATTACAGACATATGTATTGGAGTAGATCAAACTCTATTAATCCTAGGGTGAAAAAATAATGGGGTGGGGCACTACTGAAATAACATTCTTGTCCAGTTCCATAATTCCTTCAAGCCAAACAATTGTATTCATGAGTCACAAATGGAATGAGAATTAATTGATAGTGAAGAAGAGAAAATCAAGAATATATTGAGGAACTTGTTAATTACAAAAAAAGTACCTATCCCTATGCTAAGAAACCCAGTGGGTATCACCTTAAGTGATCAACATTAACATTTATCATGAGTACAACAAACTGATATCATGTCCCTGATGTGATACACTAGTTAGGTACTGCATTATCTCTGTGGTATTCTTTTCAGAAAATCATAACAAAAATCATGTGAAAAAAAAAATAAGCCAAACCCCAATTAAGGGGCCCTTTCCAAAACAATGGGCCTATGCACTTCAAAAACACAGGTAATGTTAAAAACAAAGAAAAGTCAGGAATTGCTCCTGATTACAGAGACTTAAGAGATATAATTTATTCTGAATGTTCTAAGCATAATTTTAGGCTCTACTGATTTCTTTTTATCTCTGCAGCCCTTTCACCTGTAGCAGACATACCACTTCATCCACCCATAGTCAACCATTTATTTGCATCCAGGTATGAAAAGTTATGCAGTTCTCTGTTCACCTGTAAAGAGCTTATTTCTATTAGGAATTCAGTTAATTAAGGTGGGTTTTTTTTGTTTTGTTTTTGCCTACTCCCAAGTCCCATAGAAAAGTATGATTTTTATCTTGTCAAGGTTATTTGTGACATTGTGACAGTGAAAACCTCTATTTTTCTTCATTCCATCTGCAATAAGAATTGAAGGTCTGTGCTTATTTCAACAATATCCTCTCCATCCCTCAATCCACTCTCATACCAAAATGCACAGCAACGATTTGACTTGTTAGGTATTTTTTAGACTCCTGAAGTAGCAAGTAAATGGGGAATAAATGGATGAACAGTGATATTGCAGCAGGTAGACTAATACCTCAAGTTTATTTATAAAATATATTCTGCCAAATGCTGATAAAAACAAAACAAGAGTTCATCTAGAAAATGTTGAGGTTTGAATAATATATTTTTATTTACAGTGTTTCAGTTATTTGAACTTTAGAATTCCATGTAAAGTATATTAGGTAGGATTCCAAGAATCCTTTGCTATCCAAATATATTTGGTTGCTGAGTTCAAATATTAAAGAATACTGTTATCTAAATCAATTTGATTTCAAAGTTTCAAAAAGGAAGTGGCAAGTTTGGATAAAGGTTTAGCAGAATCTTTTTGTTCCTAAATTCAGAATGAAACAAATGCTTATTTTCTTTCAACAGATTACTAGATTAGAATTGATTTGCTAATTTATAATACCACATTTTCATTAGAGTCTGGACATAACTTTTTGGGTCTCCTAGCAGGTTTTAACATCAAGATTATAATAAATTTTAAAAAACAGAAAATTTGGTATCCTAGTCTATGTCCTGAAAGAGTTCCTAAAACATTTCATAGATTTCACCTATAAAAATAGTTACATTGGTGGCATTTTTAGTGTTGCGATTTGACAAATATTTAAAATGTTTTTTGAAAATATTTTTGGTCTAATTTTTTAAAGTACCTTTTGGAGGCAAGTCTATTAAGATTTTTCATCTCCAGTTAATTTTGATGTCAATTCAATTTTTTATATAAAAATCAGATTTTCTTCAGATTTTCAGATATAACACCAACTTAAGGCTTTTAATTGAGATGAAATTCACATACCATAATATTCACCTATCTAAAGTGTGCAGTTCACTGGTTTCACATGAGTCACAAAGTTGTACAATCTACATGACTAATTCCACATTTTCATCACCCAAAAAGATACAGTTCTTTTAAGTTTAAAGTCATTACAACTTCTGATTTACAATGCTATTTTTATCCTTATTTAAATTCTAGAATCACTGATATTTGACACCTTTTTTCTTCCAACAAATAGTAAAATTTTCTATTTTAGATCATTTAATTTTTTTCTTTCGATTGTGCTCTGCTAATGACTAATATTTGCCTCCTTCCACAATTCATTTTTGCTTTTCTTTAGCTCCTTGGGTTCTAAATATTGATTGATTTTATTTGTCCTCTTTCATTATTTCAATATATGCATGCATAGTGGGTTATGAAACTTACAACGTTAACTTTTACTGCTCACAGGTTTTTCCAGTGTGTTCTCATTTTCATTCACTTTTAAATAATGTATCTGTTAGAGATTCATTCCTTAACCCATGTTAAAGAAGAGGGGACACTGAATTAATATTCATATATTTGACAGCTGATTGTTCCGGCTTCTTTTGGTCAAAATATGGGGCCTGTATGTTTTCTGCTTTTCTGGAGAAAAATAATTATTAGGGAAAATATTATCACCTCTTAACTGTTTTTGATAGCTGTGCTTTCAACTACCAGTTATTATGTCAACAAGATTTCAGACTAGTATTCTTTGTGCAGTATAAAAGATTAAGTCTGAACAAAGACTATTCACACACACTTTTTCTTTTCCTTTTTAAACTTCATAATGAGTCATGAGGAAAGACTTTCCTGTATTCATTATGAGTGTTTTTCTTTTGCAATGATGAATCTGATGAAGGTAAACAACATGGATAAAATCCTTTCCAAAAATCCTAATGAAGATACTTATGATAATGAGTGTATCAATGATAATAGTGGAAAACTTTTACTAGACTTGTGTGATAATAGATCTAAGTACTTTGCATTTATTAATTCACTGACTCATCACAGCAAACCTATACATACAGCATGATTGTATATCATTACATAAGAAAAAAAGTAACACTAACATATATAAGAAAACCATTTTTAAAATATCTGAATGGATAAACAATGCTTTCATAACAGTGATTATCTGTCTAGTATGGCATTAAGTTTAGGATTGATGTAAAGGAACAGTTACAAGGAGAAAATGTTGATAATCTCAGCAATTAAAATACATGTAAGAGTAAGCATCCAAAGATAAATTTTGGTCATATTAATGAGGACAACTCCTATAACTTCCAAAATTTAGAGGCAACTTATAGCATGAGTATCATTTTAAAAGTCATTAAACATGTTGTTAAAAATAATAAAGATTTATGTTTACTGAAATGACAATCATGATTTTTTGGCATGATAAAAGCAGGTGAAGGTACCGCATGCATGCATAAATAATTACACCTTTTTAAAACAGAGTTCAGTAAAATTTACTCTACCAAATTGAGAGAAGTCATCTATAAGTATGATTATAATTAACTTTGGCCTTTTAGTTCATAATGTTTTTGTTTTCTGATTTTGTTTCACTATTAAAAATACAAATTTATGAAATGATACACAAAGATTAACAATGACTTCAAAAACAAAGTCATAATTCCACGAGAAATGTAAAAATCTTAAAGATTACAAAATTCAGTGTGATACTGGTGCAAGCACAAATATATAGACCAGAAAAGATAGCCCTAAACACCAAAGCAAATATAAATAAAATGTGAAACCAAGAAAGTAGAACAATAGGGAAGAAAAAATTATGGAATTAGCATTGATACAAGATTGGGGAGAAGGGAGTGTCAATTTAGACTCCAAATTTATAACTTAGTGTGAAATTTGGATTCAAAATTTAAGTATAAAATAAAGAAAAATAGTGAAAGAGAGCAGCTACTAGACATGCATTTTTGTTTAAAAAATTAGAAAGGTGACAAGAGTTTACTGTTGTTATTCATTAGTATGAATTCCCTGATGACGAATGAGATCTGAGCCACTACTAAATGCCTTCCCACATTCCTTACAGTTATAGGGCTTTTCACCAGTATGAATTCTCAGATGTCGTGTAAGGTTTGAGCATTTATTAAAGGCCTTTCCACATTCATTACATTCATATGGTTTTTCATCTGTATGAATTCTCTGATGTTGAAAAAGTTGTGAGTTTTGAGTAAAGGCCTTTCCACATTCAATACATTCAAAGGGTTTCTCACCAGCGTGAATTCTCTGGTGTTGACGAAGCTGTGAGCTCTGAGTAAAAGCCTTCCCACATTCCTTACAATCATAGGGTTTCTCACCAGTGTGAATTCTCTGATGATTAGTAAGTGCCGAACCGCTACTAAAGGCTTTGCCACATTCTTTGCACTCATATGGCTTCTCACCAGTGTGAATTCTCTGATGCTGAACGAGCTTTGAGCTCTGAGTAAAGGCTTTGCCACATTGCTTACATTCATAGGGTTTCTCACCTGTATGAATTCGCACATGTTGAAAAAGTTGTGAGCTCTTAGTAAAGGCTTTCCCACACACTTTACATTCATAGGGTTTTTCACCAGTGTGAATTCGCTGATGGTCAATAAGATTTGAGCAATAACTAAAGGCTTTTCCACATTCCTTACATTCATAGGGTTTCTTACCAGTATGGATTCTTTGATGTTGAGAAAGGTATGAGCTACAACTGAAGGCTTTTCCACATTCCTTACATTCAAAGGGTTTTTCACCAGTATGAATTTTCAGGTGTCGAGTAACATGTGAACCACAACTAAAGAATTTCCCACACTCCTTACATTCATAAGATTTTTCACCAATATGAATTCGCTGATGTTGAATAAATTGTGAGTTCTGACTAAAGGCCTTTCCACATTTCTTACATTCATAGGGTTTCTGCTCATTGTTAATTATTTGCTGCAAAGTAAGAAATGTCTGTTGAATATATGTGGGCATGTATTCATGAGTGAATATTTCTTGACTGAAAGGACCATTCTGATATCCCAGTTGTCTTGAAAAGTGGCTTCTATATTCCAAAACATCTCTAACACTGGAGTACTCAAGGCCATGCTTTGTAAGTCCCATTATCTCCCTCTGGCATGATTCCATTTCATAAACTTCCTTCTTTAGTGATAATAATTTGGTTTCACACATTGATTCCAGATCTGAAAGAAAATAAAATGGTAAACATTATTTTTCCCTATTTATGAAAAGTTAAAATTTTATAATAGAAATGGAAAAATTAAAGGAAATATAGTATCTGCTAGGCAAGTTACATAGAATTCACAAAGACATCTCTTTAGCCTGAAAAAACAGACAAAAATACACAGACATTTAGAAAATATAATGCAGGAAGCAGAGAAAGGAAACTATGGAAATAAGTCACTAAAATGATTGCCAGATATTGATGTGGATTCGTATCATCCGGAAAGGTTAGAAAATATACACTGCTTAGGCCACCTTCTACACCGAAACATGACTAGTCATATGTATGTCTATATAAATATGCATATGTGTGTTTAAGGGAAAGTATATCATACTATATGTATAACAAAAATTAGATAATTTTCTGGCCTCGTTAAAAACCTCTTGAAAGAAATAAATGCATATGGGGAAGAATCTTTGGTTCCAAGGTATAATAAAGAATAAATTTAGTCTTTGTCCCTGGTTCCTGGCACAGAGCTTCAAAAACTCTTAGAATGTCCTGAGTGATAGGAGTTTATTTTTATGCTAATGAGGTAACTCATGGTGGGTCCTTAAAAATCTTCAGGATGAGGGCCGGTCACCAGAAAGACCAAGCATGTGATTAAAAAGTTGGGACTTTCAGTTATCTGACCTCTGGGAAGGGTAAAGAGGCCAGAGATTAAATGGCTAATGATCACTCATGTCTACGTAATGAAACCTCAATAAAAACTCTGGACAGTAAATTCAGTGAGACATTCTGGTTGGTAAATACATTGATATGCTGGCAGAGTGACACATCTTGACTCCACAGGGAGAGGGTATGAAACCTCTGTCCAGTTCCAATATCACTTTAAGATGTGTCCCTTAAAATAACATTGTAATTGTAAATACAGACATTTCCTGAGTTCTATGAGTCATTCTAGCAAATTATTGAATATGAGGAGGCTGTGAAAATCCCTGAATTTATAGTCAGTTGGTTTACTTGCATATGGCCTGGGAACTCCAAAGAGTGGTAGCTGGCATGTAAGGTAAAGGCAAACTGGACACAGTGGCTCACACCTGTAACCCCAGCACTTTGAGAGGCGGAGGTGAGAGGACTGCCTGAGCTCGGGGGATTAAGAGCAACCTGGGCAACTTGATGAGACCTTGTCTCTAATAATAAAAAAATTAGCCAGGAGCGGTGGTGCATGCCTATAGTTCCAACTACTTGGAAGGTTGAGATGTAATGATAGTCTGAGCCTAGAAGGTGGTTGCTGCAGTAGCCATGACAGTGCTCTGTGCTCTAGCCAGAGCAACAGAGTGAGACTTGGACTCAAAATAAATAAATAAATAAATAAAAATAAAGTGAAAGCAGTATTATGGAGGACTGAGGTCTACACTAACTCTGAATAGTGTCAGAACTGAATTGCAGTATGCTCAGTTAGGATGAAAACAGGGTAAGCTCTAAGAATATAATGGATGACATTTGAAAGCAGTAATAGAGATTCATTCACATAAGGGAACAGCCAGAGGTAAGTTTAAGGTATTGAACTAATTTGATGTAAGTAGCAGATAAGAAACCCAAAATATTTTATGTGCTGGAGATTCAGTTAAAATACTGCTTGCCTTGGAATTTTAAGATACTGATCTTAGGAAAAGTGAAGACACTTGCTTAGTACTGAGAGAGGAGGCAGCTACAGCTTAAGGAAGATAGAAAGAAATTAAGACACAGTACAAAATACTGACATGGAAAGATGACAGGAACCAGAAGCAGACTGATGAGGGCTGAATCTCAATTCTGATAGTACATCACTATATTCTTTCAAGCAGTTATTTAACCTCTCTAAGCCACTGTTTCTTCATTTGTAAAAGGGTAGTAATCCTTAATTCATGATTACTGGGAGGATACTGGATAATGTGTGCAAATGTTTTGGACCAAAGTACTCAGTATTTGATACATATTATTATGAAAGAACTTCTTGCTAAAAATGAGGATTAGGTAAATTAAATGGCTTGAAGATATCAAAATGGAACCTACTGGGACATTTTAAACCAGAAGCAGGGAATTCATTCCAATGCAATCTTTTCCCCCTTACCCCACATGATCATTCAGTAACTTTCATCTATTTAAGCTCCCAAGTAACCTTTTAAAAACTGCCTATCTCCACTGCCAATGCCATCCTCCAGATCAGGCTCATTTCTTACCCAGACTTCTGAAATAATCTCTTCAGCCAGTCTCCCACTAAGTTCTCACAACCTTTAATCTACTCAGGGACCAAAATGACATTTGGTCTAGCCTTCCACTGCTCAAAATCCAAACTCTTCATAATCTCCAGCAAAGGTTAAATGCTATGGCTCCTGCTTGCCCAGACCTTGACTCATACTCCACTTCCACTTGCTTATGGGGCCTTGTAACACTGGCTTTCTTTCAGTTCTTTAAACACACCAAGCTTTTCCCTCCTATCAGGGCTTTCACAGAGGTTATTCCCTCTGCTTGGAGTTTTATTCATTGTTAAAACATTAAATAACAAGACCTAGCAGTGAGTCTATTCTACAGCAATTCCAAAATAGTGACGAGCATAAATATACCTATAATAATGTAAAATGATATGAAAATATCTATAATTTCCATTCATATCAAAGTCATAGGAACTACTGATACCACTTTAGTTTGCTGCATAGGTCACAATAGGAAGAAATGCTAAATTGCAATGAGAGATTATTAAATATAAAGATGTAATTTTTTCTTATTATTCAAGTTTTTGAACTCCTTAAATTCTACCTAAAGGAATCCAAAATTAGGAACCACTGAACAAGAGCGATCCTTTAAAAACATGATCATGTCACTCTGCTAAATCATCCAATGGATTTATATGCATTCAGAATAGAATTCAAAGCCCACAAGACCCAAATCATCTGCAAGTACATCCCACACCTCCCACCCCACCTGCACCCAGCATGCAAACACACATAGCCCTGCTACTTTCCTGATCACCTCTTATACAATTCCCTCTTTACTCTTTCTACTGCTGCACAATGGTGGGAGCCAAAAAGCTCCAAACTCAGGTCCTTTTTTCTTCTGCTTCCTTTGCCTGAATCTCTCCTAGCAGATATTTACATTACTTGTTCTCTCATTTCCTTTAGGTCTTTACTAAATTATCACCTCATCATAGAGGACTTCTCTGACCTCTTGTCATAGCAATTCTCACCACCTGACATTTTATACTCATATAATAATACATAAATAGAATGTTTCAGTATATATTATATACACTATATTATTTATATTATAAAAATATGTCAATATTATAATCATATACTAATATAATCATATAACATATTCATAATACTATATTTACTAATATATGGCATTAATAATACAGAATATATAAACACATTTACATATTATATTAATATATCATGTGTTAATATTAATAGTATATATATATATATATGATATATGTTTATTTCTACTATGGCTTGAATGTGTCCTCTCCAAAATTCACATGTTGTCAATGGGATAATATTAAGGGTTCGGGCCTTTAAGAGGTGACTAGGTGACTAGGTGACTAGCTGACTAGCTGAGTTATTACCTGTAATGCCCTGCTTCTGTCAATTCATTTCTCACTTACCTGAACACAGGCCTCTTGTAAGCTCTCTGCCAACCATCCAAGGTTCTTTCCCCTGTTCCAATAAAGAGATCACTTGAGGCTTAGGAATGTAAAGACCTGCACATGAGAAAAGATATGGAACAAAGTTATGCTGTGGGTAAGTTATATTCAGAAATCAGATATAGTCCCTTGATGATTAGGAAGAGCACCACATAGGAACAGCTAAAGAAAGATGAAGCTGCAACCATAGCCCATTGGACTGCCAATTTCTCACTCTTCCCTTTCATTTCAGCTCAAACCATTTATTTGGTAATAAGTAGCAGAAACTCAGCCTGTAACTTGACAAAGCAGCCAAGAATTTTACTGTGGAAGAAGCAGATATGTCATAGGAGAACCATGAATTACTTATTTAGAAGTCCTTACCCACTGAAACCAGATTGTTGTAGTTCTCCAACATCACATCTCTGTATAAGTCCTTCTGAATAGGGTCAAGGCATTCCCACTCCTCCTGAGAGAAGTCTACAGACACATCACTGAACATCACTGATCCCTGAAACGATAAGCACATGCCTTACTTGTTTATTAAAAGAAATATCTCAGAGACTACTATGCTTGTATTGTGTGGGAATTCAAATGAGTAATTATATTGGTGTCACCAAGAACCAGTATCTTTGGATTTCAGAAAGAGATGCAAGAATAGAGTTCATTTTATATATAACAAACTATCAAATTCCTAACTCTACCCATTGAAAAGGCCTAGAAACAATAACTAGTCCAGTATCAAAGAGCACCCTAGTACTCAGACTGTAGTTTCTAAGTACTATTTTCAAATAAAAGGAATCAAGATTCTTTGGGGAAAGAACTTTCAGGATTAAGAGATTAAAGAGATTTCAGGATTAAGTCAGAACTGCACAGAACAAGTCTGATTACTTTCTTGTATCAAAAAGCAAGAAAGCTACCAAAAACTATTAGGATCATGTTGAAGGCTTACGAACTAGTTTGAAGCAGCACTTACCAGCTAAAATGATATAATTTGCATATCAAATTATAAGGATAATAACTGCAATGGACTGATTGTGTTTAAAAATGTTTAATCTGTGAGCTCACAACAATACTGAAAAAAAATTACCGGTCACTTTTGGAGGATTCTAAGAAGAAAACTCATTATTTTGAAAACTGGTGATTAAAAGGAAAGAATCAAACATTGTTCCCTATATAAACTGTCCTTCAGGGTAATCAAACAGTTGATTAGGGAAAGTTTTACTTTATTGAGAGAAGTATTCTACACAATCTATGAAGAAGGACTTATAATTAAAATGTCATTTTGCAACTCCTAATGAATTAATAAATCTAATGATAATCAACGGGTGCTAACATTAATATAATATGCCTCCTAATAGAATCAAGCAAGCATCATGACCTAGAAAATATTTTTGAAGGCCGGGCTCAGTGTCTCAGCCTGTAATCCCAGCACTTTGGGAGGCCGAGGTGAGTGGATTGCCTGAGCCTGTGGGTTCGAGACCTGCCTGGGCAACTTGGTGAGACCTCATCTCTACAATAAATCAAAAACTAGCCAGGCATGGTAGCGCGTGCCTGTAGTTCCAGCTACTTGGAAGCTGAGGCGGAAGGATCTCTGGAGCCCAGCAGGTCGAGGCTGCAGTGGCCAGGAGTGGCCACTGCACTCCAGTCTGGGTGACAGAGTGAGACTCCAACTCAAAAAAAAAGGAAAAAGAAATATTTTTGACAAAAAAATCCAAACAGAATCTAATCAAGCTTTTATATCTAACTACCAATTTTCAGGAAACACTTAAATGACACCACAGAGATGCAATCAACAAAATCCAGACAGTAGACAAATGAACCAGTTTTTTATTTTTCCCAACAAAAAGACTGCACAGAAAGAAGAACTGGATAGTGTACCTACAAAGTAAGAGACTTGAGAGATATACTCATTAATTGCAACGCATAGTACTTATCTGTCTTCTAATTCAAATAAATGCTTAGAAGAATGAGACAATTATAAAAATTTGAACACAACTAGATACTGAAAAATTATTTTTAACTTTTCTAGATAAAATAATGATATAATGATTACATTTAAAAAAATAATTCTTATCCTTTAGAGATACATATTTATTCATTTGCTTCAAATAATCTGGTGTGTAGCAGTGAAGGCAGAAGAATGTGCAAGTACTAGTACAAATGAAACAAGAATTATCAGAGTTGATATTAATTTAAAGCTGGTGGTGAGTATGTTCAGAAGACTCATCTACTTTTGCATGTCTGAAATTCTCCATAATAATTTTTTTTTAAGAAGGGAGGTGGCAGCGAATAAATGCAACAGAATATCTACAAAAGCCTAATTATTTGCATAGCATTGATTTCGACAAAATTGTGATATAACTTTGTGGTGGGAAAGCAGCGAGTACAATATTATAGCAAGTCTAAATCCACACATAGCTTGCAAGGAAATAACAAGAAAGTGTCTAAAATTGATTAGTCAAGAAATAGCAATATAGAAATATAAATTAGAAATATAGGATAAATTCTACTGGAATCAGCTAAAAGAGATGAGTATTTGCCTTTAGGGAGTATGGTGAAATGGTAGTGTAGGGCCCTACTCTTTTAACACTTAATGAATTTTTAACATAGAAATATTTTGGAAACAGCATACATATGCAACTTAAGTTTTCATAAACTCTAGTTCACTCTTGTGACTTACCTTTATAAGAATTATTTCCTTTTTTTTTTGAGTTGGAGTCTCACTCTGTCACCCAGACTGGAGGGCAGTGGCCGCTCCCGGCCACCGCAGCCTCGACCTGCTGGGCTCCGGTGATCCTTCCGCCTCAACCTTCCAAGTAGCTGGAACTACAGGCACGTGCTACCACGCCTGGCTGATTTTTGATTTATTGTAGAGATGAGGTCTCGTCAAGTTGCCCAGGCGGGTCTCGAACCCGCGGGCTCAGGCAATCCACTCACCTCAGCCTCCCAAGGCGCGGGATTACAGGCTGAGCCACGGAGCCCGGCTAGGAATTATTTCCTGTTTACAAATTCTTTAATAAGTATCTTTCCGGTGGCAGAATTTTCTACAATATAGGTATAACTGGACAAGACATAAGGTTCTTCTATGTCCTGACGGTATGGTTTCAACAACCTGTGCATTGGCTGAACTCACTATAGATATTCTTATCTCTATTGATTTACACAGAAATTCCTCACAACCCACACTACATATGTAACCTCACAATGGACTTTGTTCATCGATGCCCTAACAACACTGCAGAGATCTATATCAGCCACCAACCCCATGATCCCCAAAGATGCATAAACTAGGAAATCTTGCAACAATCTAACATTTGGAGTCACCAACACCACCTGTCATACTATCTTACTGGAGAACGCTAATCTGTAGAAATAATCTGGGCTTTTTTCCTTCCCTCCCTTCTTTCTGCTTCTCTGTCTTTTTCTCTCCTTCTCCCTCTCTTTCCCTCTCCCCCTCACTCTCACTCTTTCTTCCTTGTCAGATTCTCACTCTATCACCTAGGCTGGAGTGCAGTGGGACAGTCACAGCTCACCACAGCCTTGAATTCCTAGACTCAGGTAAGCCTCCTTCCTTAGCCTCCCAAGTAGCTGACTACAGGTGCATACTACCACATCTGGCTAATATTTTAATTTTTTGTAGAGATGAGGTGTCTCTATGTTGCCTAGGCTGGTCTTGAACTCCTGGGCTCAAGCAATTCTCTTCTGCTCCAGCCTTCCAAAGTGTTGGAATTACAGGTGTGAGCCACCATTTCTGTCCAATCTTGGTTTTTCTGTATTTGTTCTCGGCTAAGCAATTCATACCTCCAACACATCAAATCATGGTCCAGCCAGGACAAGTTCATTCTACAAATCTATTTTTGTTTCCTTAAGGGAATGTATTTCATCCCTATCATAGTCCCTGGCAGAGAGCTGAGAAGAGAGATGCTTAACTATTTATAGAATGAAAATATCAATGCTTATTGAAAAAAAGAGGGGGCATTTATGGATGATATAGGATTATCTAGCTAGAATAAGAGGAAATGGGGATCAGGATCCTGAAGAGGGGTCTTGTTAGTCAGAAATGTCAGGATAAGGAAAGCATATGCTCACATCTTTAAAAAGCAAAAACAAAACAAAACCCCCCCAAAACACTGAATGTCAGGAAGGCAAGAAAAAGGATCAACTCACCTCAGCCATGGCTTTCAGTATTGCAGAAGATGATTAGTCCTCGGGGCTGTTCTGAAAAAAAAAAAAAAGTGTTCTAAGAATGCAGGACTAGGGAAGTCAAATCATCTAGAAACTACACTGGCTTTATCATTCTCAGAACGGTCAGATAAAACTACCTTCCCTTCGCTTGGTCATACGATATAATTCTAGTTACTGAGTATGAAACAAATCCTATTCCTTCCTCCACCCTAGAAATCCTAGGCTTTAGGGTTGAGCTGAATCCAAGGGAAAACAAGGACCCAGATTCATTCTCCTTCACCCAAATCTCCTAGGTTTCTGTCTTAGCCAAGGGATTCAGGCCAGACTTTGCCCCACTTGAGTGATGTTGTTGCTCTGACCTTAAGACTGAGCTACTTTGACCTCCCCTGAGCAGATCCTTCCTCTGCAGTTGTCAGGTCCCCAAGCCAGAGCCATCCAAATGGTGAATGCCCTTTGGCTGGCAACACAGTACCTTAAGACCAGAAAGACCTAGACCATACCCTTAACCGGTCTTCTTGCTTACTAACCCCAAAAAAGTCAGTCAACTTCCCCCACCATGTATACATACACAAAAGAATGCTCATTTTTACCCTTTAGCTTTTTTTTTTTGTTGTTGTTTTTCTGTGTTGGAGTCTCACTCTGTTGCCCAGACTGGAGTGCAGTGGCATGCTCCCGGCCACCGCAGCCTCGACCTGCTGGGCTCTGGCGACTGTTCTACCTCAGACTTCCAGGTTGCTGGAACCACAGGCGTGCATTACCATGCCCGGCTACCTTTAGCTGTTTTTAACTTTTTTTTTTTAACACTTTGCATGTGTGTTTTGCCACTCAAAAAGTCAAACTGCTAGTTTCTCTTTTATAGATTTTGGATAACAAGATATTATTCTCATTCTATCCATACTTACATAAATTTCTCTTCCACAAGTTAAATGCTTTCATTTGCTACACTTAAATCTTTTAATCATTATTTTATTTTGGTATAAGACTATTTGGTAAAAATTATGGTATATGATTATCAATGATAATTTTTAGTATAATGTATGAATTAGAAATTCTTTTAATTTTTCCCCTAGAGGGGGCTACCTATGAATAGCAAAGATACATATAAATATTATTTCATGGGACTTAAAATGTACTTTATATACCACTAGGAAAGGAAAACAACTGTGTAAGATGTAATTCTGACTACAGATAGGTTAAAACGAGGGGAGGGGTGAGCCTTAGAATACATTACTATGGAATATATTTTCCCTACTGATTTAAATGCTAGCATTATACTAGATCACACAGATTTGAATCTATTTGAGGTTCTATTTTAGTTTAGTAATCCATCTGTTTATTTTTCTTTCAGTTTCATACTCTATATTTATTACAGTTTTAAAATGTTTTGATGTCTTAATTAAAAAAAAAACTCTCATTACTCATCTTTTTCAAGTTTCCTGGTATTCTGACTTACTTTTTCACATGAACTTAGATCTATTAAAAACATTACACTGGTATTTTTCTGCATAAAAAGATTAACTTAAGGAATCCTGACATCTTTATACTGTTGCATCTTGCTTTCTTAGAATATAGAATTATTTTCTATTTATTAAAATCTATGTTTGTGTTCTTCGGGAACATTTAAAAAGTTTTCTTCACAGAATCATGCACATTTCTTATTCAGATTATTCCTAGATATCACATATTACTTTTTGTTATTAAATTACTTTTTTTATTAAATGGGGTCTTTTCCCAGTGTATCTTCCATCTATTTTTTAACATACAAAGTTCTCTGATTTCTGAATATTAATTTTATACCTTATTGAAATATCTTCATACTTATACTAGTTTTCAGTCTATAACAGGTTGTTAAAGTATGCCTCTGTTCTTCTCAGTTTATGTGCAGTCCAGAGAAGGAGAGCAAGACAATAGGCGCCAAGTCACCCTGCATTCCAGTGAGAAGCTTGGCCACCTTATTTAGGACCTGCAAAGGAGCAGGCTGAAAAGTGATGCTGTGCCCTTGGTTCAATTCAACAACTATTCCAGATGTACTTCAGAGATTGGAGTGTCCATAAGAGAAGGCCGTCTTCGAGAGAAAGGTTTTGGAAAACATTTGTGTTCTGTATTCCACCTCTTAGGAGGTAAAAGAGGGAACAGGGTTCCAAATAATATGTGTCCTCAGAGTTTAGAGGGCACAAGGACTGGGGCCTAATTCCCTCTAAGGACTAGATATAGATTCCACAGTAGGCACTGACCCGGGCCTAGGTTTGTTTCCAAGCTTACACAAGGATTTCCGGTAAAGGACCAATGACCTCTGGAGAAGTGGTGGAGAACTGATGCCCAAAGGTTGAATGCAGAATTTGTAGGCAATCAGTCTGATTAGAGCCATTGCACCTCCTAAAGTCACAGCCAATTTTTTAAAATCTATACTCCCACCTACTAATTTTAGGTTGGCTTTATTTTTTTTAACAGCTTTATTGAGATATACTTTACATGCCATGCAAGTCATCCACTTAAAGTGTGCAATTCAATGTTTTTAGTATATTCAAAACAATCTAAGTTTTAGAATACTTTCATCTTCCTCCAAAAAAAAAATTCATCAGCAGCCAACCTCCATTTCCCTATCCCTAAGCAACCACTCATCTACTTTCTACCTCTATGGACTTGCTTATTCTAGATATTTAATACAAACAGAATCATACAATATGTGGGCTTGTGTGTCTAGATTTTTTCACTTAGCATATTTTCAAGGTACATCCATATTGTAGCATATATCAGAACTTCATTCCTTTTCACTGTCAAACAGTCTTCCACTGTATGGAATGACAGATTTTGTTTATTTGTCAGTAGATGGGCATTTGGACTATTTTCACTTTTTGGCTATTGTGAATAATGCTGCTATACAAACACTCATGTACAAGTTTTTTTGTGGACATATGTTTTTAACTCTCTTGAATGTATACTTAGTTACTATAGTAACTCTGTTTAACTTTTTGAAGAACTGCCAACCCATTTTCTTCAGTGTAACAACATTAGAGCCCACCAGAAATTTCTCCAAATCCTTACTTACATTTATTACTGTCTTTTTAAATTATTCCCATCACAGTAGGTATAAAGTGGCATCTTACTGTAGTTTTGATTTACATTTTCCTAATGAGTAATCATGTTGAGCTAGGTTAGCTTTTAAGAACCCAATTCTTTAGAATTCATTTCCATTATAATCCATTACTCTCCCAAAGGTAATTCAAGTCAGGAAAGGAAATTGAGAGTGTGATGAACACTCTGAGTGGCTCCTGGGAGAGGTAAATGAATGCACCTTTGCATAGTTTTAGTCAGGGGAGGAAATGAAGATAGATAGGGCTTAGGATCAGCAAAATTAAGGGGGCAGATGCACATCTTAATTTTCTCCTACAGGAAACTCTAGGCTTTCAGTTAACTTTTTCATCTGCACCACCCAAATTACTTTAATTCAGAGTAAGTCTGCTCAAAACACCAAGCACTTACCTTGCAAAAATACTTGTATTCTAAGTTCTCTACTTATGTGCCTGCTAATTTTTAAGCAAGAGAGTCATAAGTAAAGTTAATTGCCTCATGAATTAATAAGGCATCACTGCAGTGTTCAATTACTCAATAACGAAGTTAGTATTGAATCATTGCAGCTAGCTGTCATGCCCACAACCCCTCTCCTAAGGAAAGAGACACCCACCTGAATGAAAAATTTCATTTAAGTCCTATTTTAGCATCTTAAAAAAGCAATGTTTTTATTCCAAAATATGGTTATTGTGGAAATGTCTCAGATTTAATTACTAGTTCCTTGGCCCCAATAAGCTATCAAAGTATGAAAAATTTTTGAAGGCTGGGAATATCACTTACCATAAAAAAAGCTATGGAAAAATCAAAATGAACACGAACCTGAAAGCTTTTCACCTCTGGCACTACTTAATGTAGCTCAACAATACCAGCCCTTTTGCCCAACATATACTAGCAGCCTCCCATTTTTGATTTTGTATTTAATTCCAAACAGGAAAGAAGAGAAGACAAAAAATTAAAAAAAAAAAAAAAAAAAGGGAGATCCTGGACAGTAGCCATGTCTTAGGACAAACCAAAAAGGAAAAAAAAACCTGGCTAAAAATGGAACCCCCTATTATTGCCAAAAGGTGAGGTAGTTTTCAAAAGTATCACTTGTACTGAAAGGATCCCTTTGAAAAGTTTCCTAAAAGGGGTTCCCATTAGCCAAGTAATGAAAATGCATGAACAATATATTAGGAATACCTCTGCTGCTTCTCCTTGTATTATGATGGAGTCTATGACAACTACCAGTTCATTGAAACAGTCTGTGAAGTGCTGTAAGTCCATAATAACATGTAAGAGAAAAATTGTTATAAAGTGCACAAAGAAGAAAGGTAAATAAAATACTTTATTTTTACTTGCAATAATTAGGGAATGATTATACAGGTGCTTTTTTATTTATAGATCTAGTATTAGCTTTCATCTGCACAACATGAAAAGAATAAATCATGGAACTCTGAAAAAGCCAGTTAGCCCCAGAAAAAGGAAAAACTGTACCAAAGCCATCACACCTGTGGCCTCACACAATAATCCAAGATAAAAAGGAGATTCATTGGAGTTAGTCAGCACCAGTGGACACATAAAAAACCAAGTAGAAATGGGACAAAATTATAAATTAGCTGAATGTCCCAAATGAAAGCTTACTGAATACTCAATCCATTATTATCTAGGAAGTAAACATTCTATTAACAATATTAAACCCTTAATAATTACACAGAGATATTAATAAGGGAGATTTAAATTTTTAAAAAATCACTAGCTCAGGTCAATATGTCTTCATGATAGGATGATGACTTGTAATGACATTGCAGACCATGCAAAAACTTTAAGCACACATCTTGCTCAATAAACACATTGGATCCCCAAAATTAAAATCTGTATTAAAAACAGAAACTTACATTCCCAGTGAAGTATAAAAAGGAACTCAACATAATGATCAGTGGCTCAGGAAACTTAAATGGATGGTTAGTGAAAGAAGTCAATCTGA